TCTTGCCTGCGCAACTTCCCGTTTAACATGGGATTCCCTTCAGCAGGATCATGTTGGCATTATTTTCTCCCCTCCTGCACATTTTTCGTAACGGTGACTCTGGTGCGTGCAAAATAAAACTCAGGTACTCCATAGTTGTTATGGTCAATTTTTTCTCCCAGTGACCAAGGGATTAAGCTCTGGGTCTTATTTTAGGTCAACCGTACATAATTAAACGAAATTAAAACAAGTTGGGGAAGCCCAATCCAGTAGTGGGCCTCCTTTCAGTTAAGGAAACCCTCATTTTGCCACCTAGCGTAATTGAACAAAATGCCATCTCTATTCAGGTCTTCGAGCATCAAAAACCTCATTTCCCATTTATATTCGGTAAAAAATAGACAAATGGTGCCCATGAAACGATGATGGGATGATGGAGGGCTGTGCGCGTTTGAATCCATCCGCCACGAAGTTTGGTAGGGAACTGACAGCTCTGGTTGCTGACACGGCGCCGCGCCCAAAAGCCTGGGTCGTACGCACATGCGCATTGTGATCTGCATCCTGAAGGGCTCACAGGTCGCCTTCCCCTCCGCGACCAAATTTCAAAACCAAAATTTGCAATAAAAATAAAAATGCCCATTTTGGTGCAAATTCACCACAAAACGAACTCAGCCTGTATCTTGTTCATATCTACCCGCTAGCCAATTTTCGCATTGATCAGACCAATATTTTTTCAGTTATCGTCGGACAACCAAAGCGTGGCTCACGGACACACGGACACACTGACACACGGACGGACAGGACGAGACTGTAAGTGGTCTCTAACTTTTCAGGAAAGGAGGCCCACTAAAAAAGAGTCTGAAACTCCTCAGAATTTCTTTCGTGAGCAACGTTTAATGAAAATCTCGGTTTCGAACGCATACAAAAACTGCCAGTCTTTCCGTCATATTTTGAAACTACGAAGAGTAAAATAATATGTAAAGACAAGGGGGAACAGGAGCTGCTCAGCTCAAATGAAGCACCGGTTTCTGTTTCTTCTCCATCGTGAATGTTCTTCCTCCTGGCGCCACGATCTGATCGACCATGAATTCCGAAAGACTCTGTTGTTGTGTATTACCAGCAGCTACGTCATTCAAGGTCGTGCATGAAGTATGCAGAAGGTGTTTTTTGTCAAGGCTGAGTAGGTGACAGGAATATTTCCCACTGTAAATTTTTTTTATTACAATATTTTGCTGCAGTTTCAATTGTTCATTCCATTCGTGCAGTCATCCCATCCATCCGTTCGTTCATTGCATTCCTACATTTATTTATGATTTATGTAATGATTAATTATTTTTGACGTTTCCATTCATCGCCACATGTCGGTCGAAACGGAAAAACCGTTTTTAAAAGCAGATCGACGCCGTCTGCACCCAGCAGTTCACTTCTTCCACGAATCAAATCCTTCTTCATTCTCATTTTTTCCTCAGCCGGTTTCGAGGACACAAGAGGAGAGCAGCCACCACCAGCGAGGGTCGTAAAACACTCAATACGAGCCCGGAAAGCGCTTTCTCACCGTAGGTGAAGGCCTTCTCCCCGCCCATAAATGGACATCTAGTACGAACGAAGAAACGCACATCCCCAATCCCAGAAAATAAAATGCAATGCTCACTCAACCTTCCCTTTCCCCAGATTAGCACGGTTTTTGACCTTTTCATCCCAACGGCACCCTTTTCGAAAAGCGAAATGTCGGCGGCACCCCAGCAGAATGGAGGAATGAAGGAATTTCTGAATTCCTTCATTATTGGTTCATATTTCAACTGCTATTTGAAAAAATCCTCACATTAAAAAAAGTATTCAGACTCTTCTTTTTTATTACTCAAACGTTATACCTGCGCCTGCCTTTGGTTTCCCAGAAAATCAAGATGTGACTTGAAATTTTGAAGCGACCTCACGGAGTTCAAATGTTCAAATGACGAACGAACACGAACGTCTTCCACCAATACATGGTACTCCCTTTCTTCAAATTAAGTTGCAAACGAGAGTCGCACCCTCCCCCCCCTCCCCAAAAGCACCACCTTTCCCTTTTCCTTCACATTGACATCTGAAACCCACGATGGACAGGTGCCGATATGTATGAAAAAGACGAGGAGGCAATTTTAAACACTGAAACATTTTTTTTTAAAACAGTGATCACCTTCGGGCATAAATTTTCCTACTGTCGACCCACGAGGACCTCTATTGTGACATCACTTTCGGAAAAAGGCGATAAATTGTGCCAGTAGCATAGTGAGATTCGGCGAAAATGTGCTAACGACCCAACAGGAAGTGGTGCTACTGCCGAAATTCACTACAGAGAAGAAAAGGCGAAACAAAGCAATGAAGGAATGACTCAAGTCGGCGGTTCAGGATCCTGTCACCCTGCCGGAGAACGGGATCAAACTCTAGCCTTACATGGTTCATCTCGCGAAAGTCGGGAGAGTTGAGCTCTTCCGACAATACAAGGATGAGATGGATGGCATGGGAGAACGAAAGAACACCAGGGAACGGCGTAGAGTCGAACCCAAGCCTCCTGATTACCGGCCCAGTGAGCTACTACTACGCCGCCAGGACATTCCATTGAACATGCCATCCCTCTACAGTATGGCAATGAAAAAAAAAAAACACCGTGCACGTTGTCCTTGAAATGTGCAAAATTCATAGTAATTCTTGTGAGACTATGAGAAGGCCTCAACTGCATATCAACTGAGTTGATGCACAATTGACAAGAGAATTTCAGTGAAGGATTTTTTGGTACAATTCAATCCCCACAGAAATTCATAATGAATCATACAGTATATTGACCTTCACCATAAGTCTTCGTTTATTTCAAATGTTCGTACAAGTATTAAGGTGATTATGACCACGAACACCAAGTGGAAGCCAACCAAAGTTGCAAATTTTTCACCACAGCGTTTATTACGTCGAATGTAAGTTATCCCGACAATCCGGGTCGCCATCGCAACGTCGTCGAACTTTCTGATAGTGCTTCATTTTCTGCAAAGGGACTTTCCTAGTAAGTCCCAGTTCAATTCTCCTTCGGCTCAAACTCACGTCAGACAGCCGGACTGTGCAATATCGCTTGCCATACATAGAAGCATAGGACTTCTTTTTCCTTGTCATTCACGTGCTCAGCTTACGTCTTCTTTACTCATTTTTTTTATTAGTTTTTTTTGTTGGAGTAATTTGAAGTTGAATGTATCCAATAAAATTCTCATACAGCAGTTAAGGAAATCATTTGTATTCAGCTGGATGAAAGCATTCTTTACAATGATTCATTCATTCAGAAAGACTTGCATTTCATTTGAGAAGGCATTCAGTTAGTTAATGCCTAAAAACAAATTAAGAATAATCAGGATTCCAGCCAGGGTGAATCAGAACATTACCTGCAGATGTACAGACCAATAATCAATTAATTATTGCTGGCTCTGTCTCATCACATACCTGCCCTTTCTTGATGACATGAAGTGTACACAACGTGAGACTCGACGAAGAAAAGCCTCATGCTGTTTGCATCTATTGCATCCACGCGACGAAAAATAGAGCAACTCGACTCGCACCATTTTTCACCGCAGCTTGAGTTTCATCAGGTGCATCCTGGCATGTCCCATGACTGCATCGGACCTCTTTCTCCGGGCAAGCTAGGTCAACGTCGGACGGGAATTATTACTCGTTCGATGACTCGATTCGACTCGATCGTATTTCTCATGGAACTCACGGCATAAGATCTCGTCCGAGCCATCGACACAGTCCCGGTTTCTGTCGCATCGTTGTCGCCCGTCGATACACATCCCGTCCTGGCATGTAAACTCATCCTCACGGCAATCTAAATCGTTTTCGGAAAGATTCATAAATCGACAAATTTGCCTCAAATATTGATTTTCTTCCCAGTGAAACTCACAGCAATCGACCTCGTCCGACCCATCAGAACAGTTTCGATTCCTAATTTTTTTTCCCACGAACACGTCTAGCCAGTCAAAATCTATCCATTTCAGTTCTGTCGTGTACAGTCACCCAAGGTCCGAAAAGAAACCAAAATGTACGTTAGTCAGAAAGTGTCATGGAGAGTACAAAGACTCCTGACTATTCGTTCCACGACTTTACTCGTGGAGCGAGGATTTCTGGGTCTGCCTGGAGATGGCAACACTGAAGTAAAAGCCAGGGATTAACAAGTTTAACCTCGTGGTTGAAAGCCTGAAACCTCGGAAGCAGACGGGAAACGTGACATGAACATTCATCGTGCCAAACTGCCACTCCAACAAAGGGAGTAAAAGATGAATCCTCAGGTATCATCATTCTTTCGGTAACATTCACCTACTCCCTACCCCCTACTCCCATCGTCCCCCCCCCCCCCCCCTCATACCCCCTACCCCAACCTTTCAATCATAGGACTGCGATGTCCCTAGTTTCAAGCGCAAAGATCGAGAACCAAACATTTGGTCAACGTGTTCATAACTTAGAATCAGCCCATACCGTCACGCGAGTAGGAAAAGGAATGGTTACTGATTAGATCCAGGAATAAAAACGCTATAATGAAGAAAAGGAACGGCTTTTGAAGTGCGCCCAAATGTCCCTTTCCACTCTTTCACCACGTTCGATGGCAGGTGACGGTCCAGAGTCGATCCGAAAAATATTGTGGTTCGTGTATCCAATAGTTTTCATCAAAAATAGACTTAACCCTTCTAGTGATAGAGTCGCTTACAGCGATGCTACAAATATCGCTTCAAAATGCCAGAGTCGAAGAGTTGGCACGAAAATGTCCGAATTTCGGAATGGAACACGATCGAACGTTCGGATTAGAAACATTTTTTAACCCTTTAATCTAACCCTCTTCGACACAGGCCTTTTTCAATTAAATTCGTAGCGTTGCTCTAATCGGCTGTGGCACAATAAGGGTTAATATTCAACAGATGGATCGAAGAGGACCGACTGAATTCAGGAATCCTTACATGGAATAAGTTTCCAAGGTACGAGGCAAGATGAATTAGAAATGTGTTAATCGGCACTTAACATACGCTGTTAATACCCTTCTCCACCGAGACAAGGGATTGAATTTCCCACATGGTGAGGATCTGACCTAGAGTAAAGCTGTCAGGTAGGTCCCCACTTCCCTCCAAATCTCCATGATGACCCGATCCCTCGAGATCGTAGTCCTCGTCATCCGAGAACCTGCCTTGATGATTTTGCGCCGTGGTCGTCGTGGTCGTCCTCGACGAGCCCTCGTTCATAGCATCCCACGGCCATCCCCATTGGGGGCTTCGCTTTTCCTTGGTCCTGTGCGGCGCTGCGTTTAAGGCATCTTCGAACACTAAATCATCGTCCTCTCCCTCGCCCTGCAAAAATACACGTTTTAATGCATTGAGAATCGTAATGGAGTCCATACTTCGTAAATTCCTTCCAATTGGCAGTTGTGGAATTTTTTTGAGTTGATAGTATTGGAAGTTTAAGAACAAGGTCGGCTCCGGCACTCGAAAGTATACAGAACACGCCGGGTGATTTGGCGATATCAGAAAAGGGTCCTTCATTGACTATTTTTTCGCTATCTCTGAACTTGGTAAGTACATGGGGGGCAGACTGCCATGAGTGTCATGATGGTGTGATGCAGCTATACCAGCCATTATTTTATCGCACACCCGACGGACTACATCTACAGCCAAATCCTATAAACACTCTGCTACTGACTACACCAGGCGTCTTAGAAACAAGAAACTAAGGAAATAAAATGGGAAGACCCACACTTCATACTTACGTAAGAAATTATTCCGAGTGCGGAACGTGATTAGTAGTGGACCGGGCCCAGTTCCAGTCGATCGCGCCAAGTTCTGTAAAGATGCTGAAAGACACCTCAAAGTGATCCGAGTGATCCAGGACAACCAACAGGAAACATTCTCCAGTTACCAAAATTATTTCATTCCTATGGGGAAAAGGTGGGCCAGAAGATGAGCTACAGGTGGGCCACCCGGACCACACGACGTAAACCCATTGTTTGTAATTCCATCTTGTAAAGTTCCATTGGAGAAAAAAAATTCCCCGTCTCCCCTGACTTTCTCGGGGGAGAGAATGTGCACGGTTGCCTTGGGCAATGAGTTAGACATTGGCTGGGAACATTAAATTGGAGACATCTGGCGGCGGGATGCATAAACCTGAACTGAGGGGAGGGGAGGAGTCGAACGCGCAACCTTCAATGTGATTTTTACGGAAACACAAATCAAAAACTGCTTTTGTCTTAAAAATACATCTTTATCTGTCTGAATGACTTCCTCAAGCCCAGAATGATAATGAAGTACGTAATCGATGGTTCGAAGTTGAAATAACAGCATCCAGGAAGCCTAAAAAGCCAATTACTTTTATACTATGCCTTCGCCTGTGATGGACCTATGCTGATCAAATCTAGTATTGGGTGTCGTCGGCCTAATAGTCAACATTAACATTAAATATGATTAGGTTTTTCGTGAGGTATAACATGAAAAGGATTCGTATCCAGACAGAGGCTAACGTGTCTAGCACAACTTCTGAATAATGCAAGCACTACTCAATGCAGAGACAATGGCAGTCAAAACTTTATCTTCATCAAGAAAAGTAAAAAGTATGCGCCTGTTATGAGTCTCAAGTTCCTCTTCATAGTAATGAATCCCAAAAGACACTGAAATAAATTAGTAGGCACCCTCATGAAATGTACAAGCTCATCATCGAGGCCTAAAATCCCATGTAGCCCCTCAAATGAGGAAGCATCTTCATGGGACATTTGGACCTCCATTGAAGTCTAAGTTTGTGTAAGGACATGGACATTGAGCGTAACCTGCATTCCCACACACGAGTCATGAGAGCTGGAAGACTCAACGATTTCCCACCTTTCATTTCTTTCTTCATTTCATGACACCTCAGAGGTTCTCACTTCTGAATTTATTATAAATTCTGGATGGAAAACATCATCTTCAGGAAGGTTGATGGAATCTGTTAAAGGTGATAATAAGCAGAGAGACACTCCCTGTTTGTTTTCTTGTTGTTGTAGGAAATTTAATGTTTCTGGCTTTAGATCTTGCCTTGAGGCAGGCAAAGTGGACAATTGGCAAAGGACGTCTCACCTGTACACTCGAATGAATGTGATTGGCTTGTATCCTGGATCTACAGGATCATCACTCTGACCACCAACAAAATGCCAACCGCGAATTCTTGTGTTTCCTGAGGTTTTCCAGGGCCTGGCAGATATATTGTACCAATGACATGAAAGCAACATCCAAGAAGAATCTTCCGACATGACAAGAAAGCTGCGTGTTTATCCATATGGTACAGTTATAGATGCAATAAAATCATAGATATGATTTAATGGGTGTTAAGTACATATGTCAAATTAAGCACAAGTCACAAGAGTTGTGTTTTTGTGGGTTACTCTTATTCCTACCAATCCTGTCCATAGAAAACTTTCTTCCACTTTCCAAATCTCAGGAAAGAATTAACAAAACATTAGGAATGGGATTCTTCTCATGAAAGGAGTGAGTCGTGGACAAAATGCTTGTCATGAAGACTTTTTTGGTTCAATAGGGTCACCTAACAGTTTTGACTTTCAATCCATACCGTCTTTGGTATAGATCCAAACTAACTAAAAGAGAGTAATAATTTGAAGGAATCAAGGAAATCTCTTTACTCTCACCGGTTGAACAATTCTTAAATGTACAAATTAAAGTAAATAAAAAAATAAAAATAAAGGACTTGATGCTGAAAGCATTCAGGCTCTACCAGTTTTTCAATTACTTTCTCATCACATGTCAGAAATCGGATCTTCCTTTTACTTGGCCTGCTATAATGTGATTGATACAGAAATTGTGGCAGGGCCCTGGAAGTCTACAGAAAACTCTAAAATTAGTGGCTGCCATTTCGCTAGGGGTAGAATGAGCGATGATATTGCTGATCCAAGATACATGTCAAACATATTCCCATCAGTGGCTCTGGTGAGAAATCTTGCTATGGTAAATGATTGTTTTAAAACTGCCCGCCTCAAGAGGAGAGAATAGAAGTGCTGGGTAGTTTTCGTTATGCCCATACAATTGTACACTTTGCGCAAACGTAGCTCTGCTTTGCCTTCCCTATGCGCAGACATCCATAGCAATGGTGCAAGACATACAAGGGCATCGTCATTTTGGTTTTAAACAAACTGTCACGTTCCCGATGTGCGCGAGAGTAAAGTTCCCTACGTCGACAGCCATGAGATTTTTTTTACTCTTTGCGAAAGGCAAGTGTGCGGTTACCACTTCCTAATGTCTCGTAGTAATTGAGGAGTTCTCTGGAAAAAATGGCGTTATGTGTCCATACGGGTGTATGAGCACAAACACACTTTTTCCAGAGAACTCCTCAAGTATCGTTGAATCATATGGAATCGATTAACTTGGTGGCAACTCGTAGACAACGAGGATAATTTGAGCCCGAAGCTACTCATACAGTATAACCCGTATGAGGAGGTCACCGCTACCTAACGATTCCCTGTCGAACTAAAATTTCCTAGAATCTCCTGCAGATGTCCACACGTCAAGCCCCATGTGAACCCCGCGTTTCTGTCACAATCTTATCACATACTTTCTTCTTTCCCATACTACCACGTTCACCTCTCACAAGGGCAATCTTCATCGCCAATCTTTATCTCATTGCCCCCCCCTCGTACTAATGTGGGGGGAATACCTTCAGTGGGATTGCCGATCTAGAGTTCGATTATTTCTCCTTATCCTGTTCGTTCCCCTACCATCTAATATATATAGAGTCTATATATATTAATTTCAGGCATCCTGCATCTGCGGCTTAAGGAAATTACTAGTGAATTTCACTTTCAGGCATCCGTTTTCCATGCTCACCCCTAGTAATGCGGTCAAACTTCTTTGCTCACGGGTTCAATTCCCACACCTTTGGCTCTGGCATCTTAAAAAAAAGGTGTCTTAGAACATAGTCTTAGTAACGCCATGTGACTTGTAGCATGATGATCACCGATTAACAATTGTTAGTGCGTCGTTTAGTGTTGGTGTATTCAATTCCTGCCTATGGTCGACACACTCTTGATTGCATATCAACCTCCAAAAAAAGTAATAGCAGCCACATGAACCACATAAGACACTTGAGAATTTTAACTCAATAACTCTTCATAGACTACGTTCACTGTATGGGGGAGTTCTTTCATTATCTTCATATTTCTTTTTAGGCACAAGTACTTTTATGGAATCCCTTTTTCTAACTCTACCTAATGCTACAGTTGTCCAAGAGAAAATACGTCATTCACGAAGGCAGTTTATGGCTACTTACTTATTGCATAGTTGAAGTGTGAGCATAGAAATGGCATTGGTCTAAGCGTCCTGCATTGGATATAACCACTCTGAATCGGAAAGTCCAGGGAAAATCTTCCTTGCCGTTTCCCTGCTACAAAAAAATATGAAATCAATTCGCATGCACAAGCATACCGGTACGCATCAACCCAAGTCCTTCTACCTAGCCTACGACCTAGAAAGACATAGGGCAAAGACCTTGCGCCGCATGCTGATGCAACAAGTTTTCCGTTCAAATAGGCCGAAAAGTTCCTCGATGCCATTGAGTTGAGATCGATGTAGGCCTGAGATGTCCAAAGGTTAGATATGGGCCTGCTTAATCAGTCCCTTCAGGGCAATTACCTCCAATGTCGAACTGTTACCTGTAGTTTGCAAGCCAACAGGTGTTTTGTTCTCCGTCCCGCTACCTTTGAAGAAGAGAGTGCATGAGAATGGTATTGGCCTAAGCGTCCATCCATGAGTTAGGCCTAGGCCTGTGAAATCAGCCCCCCTTCCAAAGTCGGAATTCCTCCGGAGTGAACAACCTAGCAGTTACGCACACTTCCTTCTATGACAGAAGTAGGAACGTATGTTTGAGAATGGCTTAGGCCTAAACCTCCGTCGGGGGGGGGGGGCTGGGCCTAGGCCTAGGCTTACAAAATCAATCCCCCCTGAAATATCCAAATTCGGATTTTTTTTCTGAACTCTACATCCCAATAGCTACTTGTGTACCAAGTTTCAGATGTCTAACTTCTCTAGAACGTGGTTAGGTTAGCTAGGCTTTGAAGTGTTACGGGTGGAACAAATGTTTTGATCAAACCAACTTCCAATCCTCATGCAGATTCAGATATGAATCGATGGCCATTATTAAGGCTATTTTTCTTGACAGGGACACACATTCTTTAAAATAAAATTTGGTAGATAAATGGAAACAAGCAGGGCAATTTGTCAGTGATGCATAAGTGTCCCGACAGCAAACAAATTTTGCTACGGGTAGGACACCTTATTTTCAGTCTTGTGGTCTTGTAATTTTTACTTTTTAAATTTTAAATTTTAATTTCTGAAAATTTCGATGATACTTAAAAACATTATAGACTTCTGACAAATCTGATATATACCTAGGTACAGGGGGTTACAAAAGTCAGGAATCATAGGAAAATAACATGGGGATCATTTCCAGCCTAGATTGTCTGAAACATACAAGCTAATCTGAGTTGATTCTGAAACTCCTGAGTTCCCTTAATCTCAAAGTCTGGTCCAAGTGGCCCAAAATGATAGTGGGTGACCCAAGGTGACCCGAAGTGGCCTAAATTGTCCAATTGACTAAATATGGGCCTATTTATCTGAGAGTGATATATGCTTTTACAAAAATAGAAGCAGTGACACAATTGACCCACAGTTGCACATAACGACCCATTTTGGCCCATTTTGGCTCACGGTGTGACAATTCGACTCATGGTGACCCATTTCTACCAATGGTGACCTACCGTGAATCTCACTATCTAATAGTAGCCAGAGTTGACCAAAAGTGATCCAAGGTGACCCATGGTGACCCAAACTGTTCGATCGACCTAACTTGGGCCTAATTATTCTAGGGCAGTGGTATTCAAACTTTTTGAGCTGGGGGCTGCCTACGGATGTAACCAACCTTGCGCGTGCCGCACTTAAAAAAAAATGTACTAGTAAATTCTTACTAGTATTTTTTTTAGATAAAAGAAATCCAGTCGGCCAAAATATTACTCATGCAATGGTATTTATTGGCAAAACAAAGACTTGCATGCGGCCGCGGGCCACAGTTTGAGTACTGCTGTTCTAGGGCGACTGAAGAATGCTAAAATTGAGATAGAGTGACTAAATTTGATCCATAGTGACTGCAAGTGACCCATGGTGACCTAAATTTACCGAAATTGTCCAATCGGTCCAATTTGGGCCTCATTTTCCTAAGACGATGTAAGTATGCTAAAATTTAAAAAGAGTGACCAAGTTAGGTCATTATTGAATGCCATGGGTCACCTTGAATCTCTATTGGTCAACCCTGGCTACTATTAAATAGTGAGATTCAGAGTAGGTCACAATGGGTCGAAATGGGTCACCGTGGGTCGAAATTGTTTCGATTGTTGTTATATTGTTATTATATGTACCCAATTAACCACCCCAAGGGATGAAACACAAGATTTCAAGTCATTCTGCATCCACATGATACTTTTGTCACACCCGTAACGAAAGTTACAGGTGGGACAAACATTAAAGATGTTTAAAATTGGATTAATTATTAATTATTGCATTATCATATACACGTTGCATATTAATAGAAAGCTCTTTTTAAGGATTTGTATTGGATTCCTTATCGTCGGTTGTTTAATTCTTAGATAAAGAGTTGCAAATTTTTTGGTATGCATACTTTTGGCCATTTTTTCAAAAACTTTGCCTTATGGTATCACTGAAACGGTTTAACTTAGGATGCTACGATTTTGGATTTTTGCTATCATCCACAATGCCAAACAGCATGAATTATCAAAATAAAATTAATGACAGTGTTTAATTGTGTTTTTAAAGAGTTAAAAAACGTTATGGGTGGGACAATTTTGATTTGAAATGTCTCCTCTCACATGTACCACCTTGTTCAAATTTATCCCGCTGTCTCCTATCATGGCGCAGAAATGCGCATCAGCATGGATCAGTCCTGTACCTAACAGGGTAACCATGCAAGACATGCGTTACGGGTGGGACATGTTATATCATGTTTGACATTTTCGGGTAAAAGCAAAAAGCAATTAATTTTCAAAATTATTACAGAACTATGATGATTCCATATATGTGTAATTCCTGTAGGTAAGATGACCTCTTCAAGTGAAAAATATCAGCTCACCATTTTCAATTCACCTATTTATGACGCTGCCGTTACGGGTGGGACAGAAAAAAGTGCCAATTCTGAGGACACCTATAATCCTTGGCAAAGCTTGAGAGACGCTGCCTCTAATAGCAGTTGGAGTGCATTCTGAAAATAAATAATATGTTTGGAATGTTGTGCCATTTGTTTGAAAAAATCAGAGAACAAGTATTCGTTTGGCAGAGGAATGTTCTGAGTGTTCCAAGGCAAAGACGCGTTACAGGTGTGACAAATTCAATTTTCTCTGTTAGGTGTGTCCTAAAAAAATGCTTCAAACAATGACAAAATATATTGAAAGAATTGCTTTGACATGACTTATTGATGTTTCAAATTTCAAGAAAGATTCATTACTGCCAGAGTTATGGAATTTTAAAGGCTGAAGACGCGCAATTGCTCCAGTTTGGCCTGATTCACCCGAACATTCAATCCGGTACACATTTCCGGACCAAAATGGGAGTCCCTTCGTCTCCTCCCTCTAATAGTTATCTCGCTCGCTGTCGGGGAGGACAAGGGATTTTACCGGTTTCCCATTTCCTTGTCCACGTCCTTTCCACATGCAATCTTTCTTCAACGGTCTGGGTCCGACAAAGAAAATATCCCTTATCTGCCCTATTTTTTTCGCCGCTGATGCATGCTCTTCTTTGCAAAAGACCACTCCTGGTGGCAGAGAAAACAAACACGCCGCCGCGCTTCGTTTGTCACAGCCGGAGTCCTCTTATTCCCACGAATTCCCCCCTTTCGGAGTTTCGAAGAGGGCTTTTCGGAGTCACGGAAACGTTAGGAAACACCGTTCGAACACCTGCTCAATTTGGGGATCCCTCAACGGTGGGATCGGCAAAACGGAGACGAACTCGTTGTCTTCTTTGCAACCTGAACGCTAAACAGGGTCCTTTTAGCAACCATATCTCTGTTCTCTTTTTTCCTGGCCGATTCCACAACATTATCTAAATCCTGCGGATCCTTTTGGAACTTTTGGTGTTACGTGGAACATAACCCAACATAATGGTTCAATCCCATCGCCTTCAACTTTTCCATTACCATCCTGGAATCTCCTAATTACCCTCATTCACTTAACGCCCATGCTGTCTCATCCGGATATCGATGGAGTTCCGCAAGACTTTGTGTATGACTCGAAAGGGTCTGAGGTTTCTCAAATTGCCCTTTCAGTCCCGTGCACAATTCACAGATTTCATTCAGAATCGTCTGCGCGGATAAAAGGAGCTCGCATGCCTCCCAACTTGTAATTCATTGTGTTGACAACTCGGTCATCCTTCCAATCGGCAAGGACCATAGAAAAACTGATTTTAATAATAAAATCCTAAACGCATATGCTTCCAGTCTCGCTGGCAAATTCAGGAACCGAGCACAATAAGGAAATAAAGAATGACAATGGCTCCTTGACCATTCCTTGACTTTGTTTAGACTGCGCCAGAAATGTTACGTGCGCGGTGCCGGCTGACGTGGCCAGTGGTTCTAATAGTATTGTATATACAAGAGGGTATCTCAATAGTTAACGACAAACTGCCTTATCTTCACACACACACACAAAGATGGAATCGGTCCGCTTGGGAAAGGTTTGTATTTGGTCTATGCGGAATCTGGAAGCCCTCGAAATCAGTGCTAATATCCGCCTCCAATCAACATTTCTCCCTTCTGAAATTTCTCTCATACGCATCAGTGGGTCTGAAGGGGTAAAGTTCCATGGAATATACGAAAAAACGCCCACTGAAGAAATGCCCACGGAAATAATGCCCACAGAAAAAACGCCCACAAGAAAAAATGCCCATGGAAAAAACGTCCATACCTGCAAAGTACGATAAAATGCCCACTTGAATATTTTCCTGGTTTTTATTTTTTTTTTCATTCTGCAAAAAAGCATCTCATTTATGGCATTGCCGAAATGGAACAAATTAAATAATACAGGATATGTAGGCGACACTTGAAGCGCTTTTGCAAAGTGGAACAATCACATGTTAATTATTCTTGTAACGAATAGCATGTCCCACTCCGCGGAGAAACTCCTCAGTTGTTTTCTGCTTCTGACTGTTGGCCAGGCACAGATTATGTAGTCGTTTCTGATAGTCTTGTGTTGCCCTTTTCACCTTCTTCTTGGGAGGATTTCCAGTTGCGTTCTGCAGGATAGAAGTTGCAACAGTAGCATTGTCGGCTTGGAAGGCAGCGATAGATCTCCAAATGGTAGGGTGTTTGTGGCCAACTATGTGAAGATGTTTGTGATTCCATCCCTCGGATTGGTTATTGGTTCGGTCGGCTGCAGACAAAGTTGCTTCGTAGACGTTCCAGACATATGGNCATCTGGCCCACAGGCCAAAATAGTCCATGCATGAAGTTTACCAATAATATCTATTTTCCCAAGCATTTTTTAAATACATAAATCGATATTAGCGCCCTTTAGTCCTTTTGCGCTAAAACTGACGCAAAATCGATGCGATCGATGGTCATCGACACGGAATCAAGCAAAGGGACACTTTCGCGATTTTTCACCAAGTTGCTACCCTCTGGTTGAGTCCAGCACTGCCCTTTTTTCTGGTACCAGACCCGATAGGCCCGAATCAAGTCATAGACCGCACCGACCCGAAACTCGAATTCTACTCGAACTTAAATTCGACTCGACCCTACTCGACCCGAAGAAGGATCGCGGTCGGGCCGGGCCAATGCTGGGCCAATGCCGGGCCAATGCTCTAACCCCCTATGCTCAAATAGCGAAAACGACGTCTGTTTTGTCCATGAAACATTTGGAACCCCTTCTTCACTTAGAATGAAACGCCGGACGGGACTATAGAGCGGGCCTTGTTGCGGCCAAAAGAGGGAACATTGGAAATAAAGTGTGCCTTAAACCAATTTAAATTCCACAAGCAATATTCTTTGCGAATCGGATCTGAACTAACGCCACAACCCTTTAACTGGACGTCGCGACCTTCGCGGTCCATTGTTGAGTACGGGAGCACGTGGCATTGTTTCTCGAACTCAACGGCTCTCCGTCCACTGCCAATCAGCGCATAGCTGCGCAGAATCCACTTGGACTCCGTATAGAAGAGCGTTGCTCTATCAGCACCAGTAGCTGCCACGATGCGACGCCGAGGTTTTTCTCGATCATCAGTAGTAAGGAGAGCGTAGTTAACTGGCTCCATGAACAGGGCATTTTGCAAGATCGAGGTTAAAAAAATGCTTGGGACAATGCCTGAGCCAAGGCACTTCGTTGAGGTCTAGTGACGTGGCCTCAAACCATGAACAGGTTTGAGACATTTGGGACATCAAGTCTAGGTTCATCGATTAATCTAATGTGAAACCCGACGATAGTCAAATGACGAAACTTGCCCTCCAAGTGGTTTTGGATAGTAAAATCATGCTTTAAAAAAGGGTGTATCACGCAAACCGTGGTCACACTTCACATCCAAAGCGATGTGGTATGTCACAGACCATAGGTAGGTCACGCCTAATACCTGACACCATATGTAGGTCACACCTCATACGATTACAAGTAATTGTTTACTTGTAATCACTCACACGACACAGAGTCAACTCTACTACCTACCCGCATCCACCACCCTTACAAACAGTGGAGTGGGCATTGGAAGCATGGGAACGTCTGTTGACTTCCCTCTCCCTTGTTGCAAAACTCGCGAAGTTGCAGTTTCATGCCTGGACCTGCCCAGACAGGCCAAACAGACTCAGTTACCCTTTGGACGTTGCCCTCGTTCGTCTTTCTCTCGGCATCGCAATTTTCTATTTCCACCATTCTACCCTACATTTCCCCATCTCCTTTTGCTTTTTTTTTATAATCTCAAATGGATGATCACCATTAATCAAAATGAACATAGACAAAGGAAAATTATTTCCTTGAAGAAGGAACCGAATGAAAGTAAAAACTTTTCCTTTCCTTTTTTAAAATATTTTAATCATCTCTCAATGTGTGTAATCCAGAGTGTTAGTGATAAGTGTTTAATCAACGAGTTTCTTTTTCAAACTAATTTTATTTGCTTATTTATCTTATTATTATTATTTTTTAATTATGAAGGAGAGGGGTCATATTTTGTCGTAATTTTTTTGAGGGTCGAAGCTTTTGTTACGGAGTGTTAGGCCGAGTTCATACTCGTGCTGTACAGCATGTACAGCAGCGGCAAAATCCAATGCAACACGGGCATGTTACATTGGACAGTATGCAGTTGCAGCATCCAGCATGCCGTACAGCACTAGTATGAACTCGGCCTAAGGTACGTGAGAGGACTTCCGTTATATTCTCGTATGTCCTTCCGTCCTATGTATGGAGTTTTGCCGCCTTCTGAAGCGACATGTCAGAGTGTAGAATTTTAAAATATATTCCACACCTTCAGTGGCGTAGGAAGGAAATCGGGAGGGGGATTGAGGCCAGGGAGACATCCCAACCCAAAGCCCTGCTCCACTCCCCTGAATTTACCCTTTCAACGAAATCATGATCTTGAGTCTGTTAATGGACATCAGACTTTCCCTGAAGGGGCATAGCTAAAATTGAAATGCCCAAGGAAGGTTGAAATATGCCTTTCAGTATCACTGACCGGGAAGCCTAAGGGGGGGGGGGGGGGGAATTCCAACTCCCTAACCCCCTTCCCCTTCCCTACGCCTCTGCACACTTTTGCAGGTTATACACATGTTCCAAGTGGGCATTTCACCATCTAAAAGGGGAATTCCGCCGAGGAAAATGGATCGAGTGCCTCACAAAACCCAATTCGTGCCGAGACGAGGCCTTCGACGTTTTTCCGTCTGAACGCTTTCATCGAGACGTCATTGGCGTTCCACCGGAGTTAGGACAAGAATGAAGTCGCAAATCTAATCGCCGAGGAAATTCCAGGTATTACTGCACATATTCCATATTTAATTTAGGATTTTTGATCTGTGATTTGAAAGGACGTCACCTTCCCACCTTCCCTCCCTCCCTCCTCTCAAGATAAAACAGAAAAAAGGCCTGACAACACCATCTGATGACTAGCCGCTGATCTACTCGACCCCCCGATCTTCCTTTCTCCTACTACAACAGCCTGAATCAACTGTCACCGCAATCGATCATTCTCTCTATTCAGCAATCTGTATATTCTACTTCATCTCACCTCATATCCTTTCCTGTAAAGGGCATGTCTTGCAAATAAAGGTCATTTATAATTTTAAAAAATACAGGACTGTTTTTTCGGAGCAACAATGTTGGTAGAGAAGCATGGCATCTAAATTGCCAATTGCAATTGCAAATGAGGAATCGCAAGTGACTGCGGATTCTGTGACGGTAGGTATGTGCAAACAGGGTGCTGAAAATACGAGAATTTCTTCGGAGGACCTTTTTTTATTATCTTGGGATGACAAGAGAATCACACGGTTACTACGTTTTCATTTCAATTCAGATTTGAAAATTTTGGCTTAATTCCCTTCTGCGAGA